TCAGAACTAATACAACTTCCAAGGTACGTAAAACGCTCCACAACTTCCAGTACCTCTCCCTGGATTGTAAGGGGCGTGTTCAGTGACTGCACGTCCACAAGCATGACACTAGATACAACAGTGGTGCCGCTTGGATCTCGGAGATGGGTTCTCACCGGTCCCCAGCATAATTCGGTCCGATGAATTACCGTTCCGAAGGAAACATGGCGTGTGCGACGAACACAAAACTTAGTAGGCGTAAAGGCTACGGAAATGGAAAATGCGAAGAATGTTGAGAACCTTCGGGAATTATTTCGGTTGGTACAGTTAACCATTCCAAGGAAACCGTCGGTGTGAAATCATTGAAAAGACTACTCGGTTGTTGGGACGAGTATTTTGAAAATTCTCGTGACCACCTACCGCCACTCAGTCGGATTGCCGAACTGCACTGGAACCTTGGATGTCTAACCTGCAACCCCCCTGGGGCCTTAGCGGTTTAGGAGTGCCCATGTTCTCTCAAGCGCCACAAATTTTTCTGGTCCGAATTAATTCCCACCAAACTTATTCAACGATGGAGATGAAGTCCTTAGACAGCGATTCTGATCCACTTGCCTCCACCTGGGAAAAGTAAACTTCCATATAAATGAAGAGAATCCACAAGTGTCCGTTTTAAAAGAGGTTCATAGACAGCGCTAACCACACAGGGGTCCGCTTGACTCCAGTTTTTGGTGTCAACTGCCTCTCGTCGCTTTATGGTGAAGCATTGATTCGAGAGCAGCAACAGGCATTTTGGCATGGTAGGGATTGTGTTGAAGATGTCTTCACATAACATCAGGTGCCAAAACAACACCATACGTATAAACGACCAACAATTTGGATATCAATATCACCACAACCTTCCGATTTTTTATTTTTGTGACCTATGTGTTCATAAAAGGCTCCGTGGGACTTAAATAAAAAAATGCAACTTAAGTTCGTTCATGTGCACTACAAGTGTTTTCAGATATTTGTTTTAGCTACAATCCATACTTGCCTAACGTATATTATTTTTTTTATCACGTAATCACTGACGACTTATACGGTTTTTACGCAATGCGCGTTGTCGACACAAAGCGCCATCCAGTGGTGATGTATGAGTACACAGTCGTAAATGAGGCATTTATTGTGCCGGCACAGACGAAACCACGAAAAATTCCTCGTGAGTTTGTGGCAGTAGCATCGGCCGTGAAATCCTGAACTGGGAAGGCCAGGGTAACGACTTCTAAACTCTGACATTTGTGGTGCCAACGGCATATCAAATTCGCTGTCAATAGTGGAGTGCCAAATCCCAGTAAACACGCCGCCGGTGGCACCATCTCTGGCGTAATGTTCGAGATTGGTTTCGCTTTCCCCTCGTACAAATTTGTGAAAAAAGTCTTTCACTGTTTAATCTATTTGGAATACACACGTCATTTGTCGAACTTTCTCATTATAACGTAACATTTACGTGATAACCTGTCAGTTTGCACCCAGCCTCCTGACACGAATGAATACAGGCTGCTCTCTGCAGCCATGGATGGACCACAACAGATGTGGACGAAATGGCTGTCCATCAAACGTAAGACGCGGTACGCAATGTCACACTTGCAAGGCCTGGTGGCACTCTAAATACACGGGTTTACAGGACGAACAGGTAAGCCAACTAGCTAATTCTCTTGACCCGTTGGTCTGCGCCAACTGCCTCTACAACTAAGATAGCCACCGAAACGAAAACGAAACCAAATCCCCATCGCTGAATCAGAAAGATCAGTGTGAGCGTTCCGCTTTAATCGGGATACTCGACGCAAAACAGGAGCTTCTTTCTAAAGCGCTGGAAAATGCAAACACAAAGAACGCAGCGACCTGGACGAAAGTTGAAAAAAGAACTTTCTTCGCCGACCGAGTAACTCGCGCTATCCATCCCGGGTTCGCTAGTTGCGAGGACTGTCATCCAGATCTCTGATGCGGCAACAAAGACCGCCAAAGTGTCTCTAGTAGACAGGCACTTAAGGGAAAGCAGACTGATTATCTGGGGGGTGGTATTCACCAGAAAAATCACGCCACGCAGCTGACACAGTTGCTCCTTGGTAGTGTCCGCACGAAGCCTGACCACGCATCGTTTCACGCAGAACGGTTACGTCAGAATGGAAGCAAGCGAA